CTAGGAATTTACCCTAAGAATACAGCAGCCCAGTTTGAAAAAGACAGATGCACCTCTATGTTTATCGCAGCACTATTTACAATAGCCAAGAATTGGAAGCAATCTAAGTGTCCATCAGTAGATGAATGGATAAAGAAGATGTGGTACATATACACAATGGAATATTATTCAGCCATAAGAAGAAAACAAGTCCTACCATTTGTGACAACATGGATGGAGCTAGAGGGTATTATGCTCAGTGAAATAAGCCAGGTGGAGAAAGACAACTACCAAATGATTTTACTCATATGTGGAGTATAAGAACAAAGAAAAACTAAAGGAACAAAACAGCAGCAGAATCACAGAACCCAAGAATGGACTAACAGTTACCAAAGGGAAAGGGACTAGGGAGGATGGGTGGGAAGGGAGGGATAAGGGTGGGGGAAAGAAAGGGGACATTACTATTAGCATATATAATCTTGGGGGAGGCACAGGGAGGACTGTGCAACACAGAGAAGACAAGTAGTGATTCTACATATCCTACTGTGCTGATGGACAATGACTGTAATGGGGTTTGTGGGGAGGACTTCATGAAGGGGGGAGCCTAGTAAACATAATGTTCCTCCTATAATTGTTGATTAATGATACCAAAATAAAAATAATAAAAAAGTAAGTAATTAATTAATTGATCGATTAATATAAACGTTTTCAGACATACCGAAACTGAAAGAATTCAGTAGACCTACAGTATAAACAAATGTTAAAGGACATCCATATCATTTAAATCTCCTTAAAAGATAATTAGCAGTTTAAACAAAAATAATAGCACTATGTTTGGGAGTTTATAACATGTAAAGGTAAAATGTTGTAGCAACAGCAGCACAAAGTTCAGGAGAAAGGAAGTGATGTATACTGTTATAAGGTTTTTATGCTATATGTGACATGGTATAATATCACTTGAAGGTAGGCTATGAAAAGTTAAAGATATATACTATAAACACTAAAGCAACCACTAAAATAACAAAACAAAATTATAGCTAATAAGAAAACAGAAAACAAAATAAATTAATCCAAAAGAAGGCAGAATAAGAGGAAAAAGGGACCATAGAACCGATAAAACAAATAGAAATCTAATAGCAAGAAGAAATATTCATACCTGAGTGTATCAATAATATTAAATGTAAATACTCTGAATTCCCCAAATTAAGAAACAGATTGTCAGATTGAGGAAAGAAAGTAAGACTCAATTACTCAAAATTAGATACTGCCTGCAAGAAATGATTTATACGTAAAGACAAATAGTTTCAAAGTAAAAGGATGGAAAAAGATAGATCATGATAACAAAAAGAAGCTGGACTGGCCATATTAATATGAAAGTATATTCTCAAACCACAATGGGATTAAATTAGAAATGAACAGCAGAAAGATCTCTGGAATAAACTCCAAGCATTTAAAACTAAATAACACAATTCTAAATAATCCATGGATCAAAGAAGAAGTCGAAAGGGAAATTAAAAAGTATTTTGAAGTGAATGAAAATGCAACCACAACAGACCAGAATTTGTAGGATGCTGGTAAAGCAGTACTTAGGGAGAAAGGCATAGCACTGAACACATAATTAGAAAAGAAATATCTTAAATTAAAGATCTTGGTTTCTACCTTAAGAAACTAGAAGAGCAAATTAAACCCAAAGTGATTAAGAGAAAAGAAATAATAAAGATCAAAGTAGAAAGCAATAAAATAGAGAAAAATCAAGAAAACAAACTTTTTTTGAGAAGATCAAACTGATCAGGATAAAAAGAAAGACTAGTTACCAATATCATGCATAAGGAAAGTGAGATTACTACAAAATGTAAACATAGAAAAGGTATTTAATAAGGAAATATGATAAGCAAGTTTATGCCAACAAATTCAACAACTTAGATGAAATGGACAAATTCCTTGGAAGACAGAAACTACCAATGCTCACTTAAGAAGGAAAAAAAAATTGCCCTATGCTATTTAAGAATTGAATTTGTAGTTTAAAACCATCCCTTAAAGAAACCCCAGGCCAAGATGGCTTCACTGGTAAACTTCTACCAAACATATAATAAGGAAGTAATACCAATTCTACACAAACTTTTCACAAAACATTGAAAGGGAAGGAATTCTTTCCAACTTAATTATTTTTATTACTATTATGAGGTGGAGGAGGAGGCAGAGCTGGTGGCAGCCAAAGCAGCTAGCATTACCCTGATACCAAAACCCGATAGAGACATTACAAGAAAACTTCAGACTGGCATCCCTCGTGAATATAGATGCAAACCTTCTAAACAAATCCAAAGTTTAACAAAAGAAGAAGGTATCATGACCAAGTGGAGACTAAGTCAGGAATACAGCATAATTATAATAGCCAAAAGCTAGAAAAATTCAATGGATAAACAAAATGGTATATCTGTACAATGGAATACTCAGCAAGAACAAAGAATGGACAATTGATACTTGGAATAGTGTGGTTAAATCTCACATTGTGAGTGAAAAAAAGCAACAAAAAACAATACATGCTGTATGATGAAATGTGGGGTGGGTGTGGGGGTAGTGGAGGAATGGGAGTAGATTACCAGCAGGCAGGAGGAAACTTCTGGGTGTGATGGATTTATCCTCTGTCCTGATGGTGGTAATGTATACATGTGTGAAACTTAGCAATTGTATACTTTAAGTGTATGTCACCTATACATCAATAAAAACTGTTTTTAAAAAATTACTAGCAATAGTAACATACAAAATAATTATAATTAGAAGATTGAAAAGCACTATATAAGATGTATGTATACTATAGTTATAGCAATCAAACTATCAAAAATAATATTTTTGTCATGGCATGGTGGAGACGAATGGTTTTCTCCTCCACTTTCCATATTTTCTTTTATGTTTTCCTAACTTTTGTAACTAAAATTATCTACAGCAAAATCAAAAATATAAAAAGGAGTAGTGCTCTTTCATGATAATTCCATTTTTGCTTTTTACAGGGAATCACTTTAAAAATGAATGAGCTAAATCATTGTATTGTTGCAAGGATTATGCATGGGGGCATGATTCATAGGCAAGGTAAGTTTCATATATAATTATTTTTTTCCTCCCTTAACTTTTTTTCCTGTAGTCTAGTGGAGAAAGTACTTTTTATGATACATATAAAAGATCTGCTTAATTTATGGTCCATATAAATTATCTATGTAAGTTATCTAACTTTGGTTTTTAATCACTGTTGCCTCTATTTCTTCTTATCGATTCACACATGCTCCAGCCTATAGATAATGTAGGGAGGCTATATTACAGTTTGTTGCCGGAACATCTCTAATCATTGTTTAGATCCTGACTTATGAGAGACCATGGGAGGTAAAGCAAAATACCATACTTGACCCCAGGATATATGGACGATCTATTCTGGAATATGAAATAGATAGATAGGTAGACAGACAGATATAAAGGTAAATGACAGTTCAAGAGTTGCTAGCTATTCAAGAATGAAATATACTATCTCTAAATTAGGCAAGTAGAGTTAATAAGTAATAACATAAAAACTAAGTGGTAAAATAAGAGATATCAAATCTATGGTTAAGTTCTTAATACCTGCTACAGTAATTGTAGTCATTCAGAGAAGTGGATCACTAAGGACTAAAGTAAATCAAGAATGATTTTTTGAGGACATGAAACTTGCATTAACCCTCTGGTGGGCAGGGTTTGGACATACACATATGGCTTCTCTTTGAAAGGACTGAGTTATATGCACTAATATGTAGAGGCCAATCCAAAAATGATTCTCCATACCAAAAATTAGGCTTCCTATCTTTGAGATCAGATTGTTTTTAAATTAACACCTCTTTCCTTTTGCCTTAACCTCAAAGAGCAAAAACCAATGCAAAGCATTTTAGTGCGTTCCTGTCCTCTTTAAAGATGACCACTGTGTACACAGATGGTGTCTGGCATTAGTGCTGCCTTCAGGGGAATCTTTATAGGCTTCATGAGTGGACAGTACTCACACAGGAGAATGTTTGGTTTTTAGATTCCAGTATGAATTTTTGTTTATTATTTTTAATAATCTGGTGTATATTCAGTGAAGCTGCAACATCATTATTTCTTTCATCTCTTTTTCTTATATTATTGCACTGGCTAGAACCTGTCATCTCTACTAGGAGTGATGTAATGGAATTCTTTGTCCTACTCTTATTTTTAAAAGGTAGCTTTCCAACATTTTTCCTACAAAGAGTAGCATTTACTGTGTATTTTTAGTAGACAACCTTTTATTAGGACTGAGAAAGTTCCTTATATTCTTAATTGCTTAATACTTTAATTACAATTGGGTTTTTAATTTTATCAAATGCTTTTTCTATATCTGCTGAGATGATCATTTGGGGTTTTTTCTTTTATCTATTAATGTGGTGAATGACTTTTAAAGATTTCCTAATGATAACTTCCCCTTGCATTTCTCAGATAAACACAGCTTAGTCATTATATATTATCTTTTTGTATGTACTGCTCAATTTTGCATGCTAATGTTTTGTTTACAATTTTTGTATTTGCAATTGTGAGTGAGATTGGTTCGTAGTTAATTTTCCTTTCTTGTGTTTATCTAGTTTAAGTTTCAAAGATATACTGGCCTCATAAAATGATTTCGAGAGCCTTCTCCTTTCATGAGTTCTCTGAAAGACTGTATAATACTGGAATGATTTGTACCTTGAAAGTTTGGTAGAAATTGCCTATAAAACCATCAGGGAGGGCCTAGTGTTTTGCTTTGGTTTGGGGTTTCAGGTTAAGGTTTGTTTTTTGTTTCATTTTGTTTTGGAAAGATTTTTGTTTTACAACCGCTTCAGTTTCTTCAACATTCATGAGCCTCTTCAGGCTTTCTATACCTTGAGTGACTTTTGTTAAGTTACATTTTCCTAAAAAGTCTTAAGTTTTAAAAAAGCAGTACAATAAGCTTCTTCACAGTATTCTCTTACCTTTTTATTCCCTGCCATCTCTGTAATTATGTCTCCTTGCTCATTTCTAATATCGTTTATTTGTGCCATGTCTTTTTTCTCTTGACCAACTTTGCTAGGAGCTTGTACAAAAAACCCACCTTGGGTTCTGTTAATTCTCTCCATTGTATGTTTATTTTTTATTTTATTTTATGACCTAATTTTTATCTCTTTCCTTCTACTTTCTATTGGTTTTATCTAACTTTTTTAATTAGACACTTTCTTCATTTATTCTAGTCTTTGTTCATTTCTGACATAAGACTTTAAGTATCAACTTGAACTCCAAGTACTGTTTTATCTGTATCCCACCAATTTTTAATGTGAAGCATTTTTATTATAATTCAGTTTTAGGTATTTTTAAATTTCCATTATATTTTTCATTGGCACACAAGTTATTTAGAAGTGTTTTTTACCACATTTAAAATGATTTTCTATATATCTTTTTATAATTTACTTCTAATTTAATTGCATTGTGCTCAGAGAAACCATTTCTTTGAGGTTTGTTGAGACTGCTTTATGGCACAGCATTTCAGTCATTTTTGTAAAAGGTCCATATGTACTTAAGAAGAATGTTTATTCTTTAATTATTGCATGCAGAGTTCCCATGCTTCAGGATGACAATGAGCTTGGGGTTGTCAATTTTTTTTGTTCAAATCTTCTGTATCTTGACTAATGTTTTTATCTGGTTGACCTATCAATAATTGTTGAAATATCTCATTACCATAGCAGAGTTTTTCAATTTCTACCTATAGATCTCTCAATTTTGGCTTTGTATATTTGAAGCTGTTTTATTAGGTGACTAGAAGCCACCATTTCTATCCTTAATAATACTTTCTACTTAGAAGCTATTTTATCTGCTATTAATATAGTTATTCCAGCTTTGTTTTAATATGTGCTAGTATGTCTTCTTCCATCCTTTTATTTCCAACCATTCTCTGCTTTGTTTTAGTGTATCTCTTGCACACATTTCCAAAGCTGGGTTTTTCATTTTTTAATGCACTCCAATGATCACTCTTTTAATAGGCAGGGTTAGTCCATTAATACTTATTATGATTTCTACCATCTTGCTTTTTTATTGATATTTATTCCATTTTTAGTTGATTTTCTTGTGCATTTTTTGTTCCATTCTTAGCCCCCCTGGTAGTATAGAATTTCAGCACTCTATTTCTATTTTTAGGTGGTCACCTTGGAATTTTATCATGCCTTTTTAACTTTACATATACCAACGTGAAATAGTATCTTAATCCTATCCTCAAAGAATGCAAAGACATTCGGGCACCAAATATGATCAAACTTTCATATTATTTTTTGCCCAGTATTTTTTTTCTGTCCTGCTTTAAATCCACAAATTTGAAATTACTATTAACATATATGACCATTTTTGTTTTGATTTACATAAATGTTTATAATTTTATTTGCTCACCATTTCTTCTTGAATTTCAGACCATCCTTTGGGGAGCATTTTCCTTCTGCCTAAAGTACATCCATAGAAGTTCTTCTAGTGCTAGTTCTCTTATTGATAAAGTCTCATGGGTGGTATTTATAAATATTTTATTTCAGCCTCAATGAAGATTACTCTTGCTGAGAGCATAATTTTAGGTTCATGGTTACCATTCTGTTGTCTTTTGACATCCAATGTTTGATATTGGGAAGTCTGATGTCCCTACATTTATCCCTGCTTTGTAGGTGATCTCTCTGGATGTTTTAAGATCTTTGTCTTTGATGTTCTGTGGTTCCACCACCTTCTAGCAAGGATTTCTTTTTATTTATCCCATTTAGGATATATTATTCTGTCTGGTTGTGTGTAATCATGTTTTCATCAGTTCAAGTAAATTTTCAACCATTATTTCTTCAAATATCGCCTATTCTCCACTTTTTCTATTCTCTCCTTCTGAACTCCATGTAGATGTATATTAGACATTTCCTCCATATGTCTTAATGTCTTTTTCCTATTTTCTTTATTTCTTGTTTCCTATTTTCCTTATTTCTCTGCCCTACATTCTAGGTAATTTATTTGGTTGTATCTTCCAGTTCAACAAAACGCTCTTCAGCCAAATCTGAGCTCCTGTTCAACTCATCCATTCCTTGGCTTTTATTGTCAGTTACATTTTTCTTTTCTAGAAGTACTAGTCATTTGTTCTTATTTTTATTTCCAGATCTGTCTGTTCACACCTGATAATCTCTTGTTCCATGCTTATCCTTGCAATTAGGTCCTTTTTCCTAATGTTGAACATATAGCTAAGCTATTTTATATTTTGTATCTAACCATTCCAATATCTATCCACCTTGAGGATCTGAATATGTTATCTCTGTTTCTCATGACGCACATGGAAGTTTGCCTTATTGTATGTTTGGTGATCTTTGATTGTGAGCATATTGCTTGTTCTAATCAGTGGAAGTCCTGTGGGCCTACACTGGGAATGCTTTCCACCAGAGGTTTATTCCTCATTCTACCGGTTGCCACGGAGTGCCACTGATCTGGGTCTTGGATCCCTGTAGAATTCTAGACTCAGCTTCTCTAACTTGCTGTTGGCCCAAGGCTCAGAATTCAGCTAGCAGTCATTGTTACTATGGCATTCACCCTTTCTACTGTTGCATTCCACCCTTAATTTGCCACCAGTCTGTATCCAGTTTACAGGGTTCTTTTGTATGGTGGGATTGGAAGTTGAAACTATTCTTAATGATTTACCCTCCTTTTGTGAGACCAGTAACACTTTCAAGAAGTGTACCCTACCCAGGGTATAATTGTGAGAAAGTCTTTGAGTGACTGATCAGCCATATTAGAAGTAAAAATCTCCAAATTTTTGTTTTACTTTTTACTATATTAACTTTCAAACATGAACAGGGAGAAGAGTACAGTGAATTCAAGTAGAGAAAAGTGGAGAGAATAGTGCAATAATCTTCTACATATCTGTAACCTAGCTGGAATTAGTGTGGATCATGGCCACACTGGTTTCATCTATACTTGCCCTACTGCCTAACCCCCTGAATTATTTCTAAACAAATCCCAGGCACCTCATTTTAATTATATGCATTTCAGTGTGTACATCTGAAAAAAACTGTGAGCTTTTCATAATGAAGTCAAGTCAGTATGTAAGCATGTGCACAATTTATAAGTAAGGAAGTAAAATTATATATAACTATGTATTAAGCATTGGTTCTTGGTCACTTTTCCCAGTTGAAATGTTATAGGACCTGGAAATGCCTACCAAGTTACTATAAAAAGATTGCAATATCTTGAATATAAGTTTAATGTTACATAGGTATTATCACAATTCTTTGAAAATAAACAACTTTGTATCACATTTGGAGGACACTACTGATAATATCAGCAAGCATTTAAGTGATACTTCTATGTGCCAAGAACAATTCTAATACCTCTACATGTATTAAACTCACTTAATCCTCAAAACAATCCTATGAGGTTACTCTTTTCATCTCCATTCTATAAATGTGTAAACTGAGACATAGAGTTTTGGTAACCTACCCAAGATCTTTTTTTTTTAATTAAAGTCTCATTAATGTACAATCTTATATTGGTTTCAAATGTACATGACAGTGGTTCAACACACCCCATGATCAACCTATATTGTGATTGTGAATTGTTGTGACCTGTAGCCCCCTCCTCCCTCACCCCACACCTGCCCCAACCCTTCCCCCTTGGTAACCACTAGTTACTTCTCAGTGTCTATGAGTCTACTGCTGTTTTGTTCCTTCTGTTTTGCTTTGTTTTTATATTCCACAATTAAGTGAAATCATATGGTATTTGTCTTTTTCCGCCTGAACCCACCCAAGATCTTAAAACTAGTAAGCTGGGATTTGAGCCCAGACAGGTTAGATCTAGAAGCTATAATTTTAAACCACTGTACATACTCCCTGTCCCAGAAAAATAAGCAGATTTTTACAGCCATCTTTGAAAACTGTGTCTTCGATACATAGAAAGATCTGTTTTAGTGAGTTTCACTACACAAGCAGGCTTGTACCTGTTTGTAAAATCCTTCAATATTTAGCTTAATTTTTTAAATTATGCACATTGCTGCCCTTGAATTTTATTATTAAAGAGCATATATCATTTCACATTTATACTTTTGTGTAATTTCTTTAGGTACACTTCATGTCGGTGATGAAATTCGAGAAATTAATGGCATCAGTGTGGCTAACCAAACTGTGGAACAGCTGCAAAAAATGCTTGTGAGTAAATGAAAGTTTCTTTTTTCTTTTTCTAAGGTTGACTTTCAGTTTGTTAGCTTGTCTTTTAATGCACAAGTAAGAGGTATTCTTTTGGAATAGGCATCTCTGGTACCATCATTTTTGTTAACTTGAACTTATACAACATTCATGAAAAACTGACAACTAGAAAAACATTTACACGCAGCAGAGTTTGGAACATTTTGCCCATCTTTAGCAGCATGGACTCTATCACTCCCATTTCATTCTTTCTCTCCTGTTTCTTATTGAGCAGATGTTTAAAGAAGACCTTTCCAGTTGTGCATATGTGTGAACTAGTTTCTCAGTGACCTCAACTCTGCTGACATCAGCAATGTCAGACCCTCTTTCCTGTTCAGCTGAGTCATAAGCAGGTGTATTGGATTTCTCTGCAGCTCAGAGAAACAGCAAGTCACAACATGACCAGGCCATTTTTGACCATACATATCCAAAATCTGTGTTCAAATTAGGCTTTGGATTAAGAAAAAAGTAACAGAATGACAGGTCCTGGACCATCTTTCTACCACAGTGTAACAACCTCCCTTGTTACTAATATCTGTTAAGAGTGAAATAAGTGCACAGACTCCCTACAGCAAAAAGTAAGGCCAAACTTGTTATAGAAGAGGCAACTGTAATGGAGTACACCATCATAATGTAGCATAATAAGTACAACTTTTATGTAATTATTTATTCTATTGTCTGGTTCAATTTATATTCACTTTCAAAAGACATGTTAGTTGGAGTTTTGTTGTATTCGTATCTGTAAGAAGGTAACTGTAGGAGTCTGTTCTACCACTGCTGTATGAACAAGGTCATCATCAGCCTTGAGTTTGCAGGGCTTCTCCCAGAAACAACTTCTACTGTTGCTGTGAGCAGGCCCTACTTTATAACAAGGTTCTGTTTTAGGCCCATGAGTTCTCAGCTGGCTTGCATTAGTTGCTTCCACACATTTCGAGTGTTTCTCACGTGGTTTTGTGTGCAGTCTTTGTTAAGAGAGCTCTCCTGTTTTCTTCCTCCAGCGGGAAATGCGAGGGAGTATCACCTTCAAGATCGTGCCAAGTTACCGCACTCAGTCATCGTCCTGTGAGGTAATAGCTCTGACGAAACCCCCCATCTCCTCTGGGTTCTTAACTAACTGTCTGCTGATGGCTGAATGTTTTGGCTTTCTGGGAAATTGTTTCTGCCTGTGCTGTTGTTGATCACTGCACACCAATTTTGCAACAAAGATAACGGAACAGAGTAGGTCCCATCCACCTACTCAGCCCTGCTTCCATGGGGATCTCCTCAGCACTTTAAATCTCTGCAGGCTGGAATCGAAGCAAAATATAGAGAACCTAGAAATAATGGCATAAGGCTTAATAAAGAACAAATGGAGTTTCTGAGAAAAAAGTAAAGATCATAGTGGCAATAATATTTCCAGGAAGTACATTCACTTCCCTTGTTAAGAAAGCACATAGATAGTTCTTCTTTCCAAGAATCTAAGAAGTGATCTCTTTCTGTCAAGATAGAGGTATTAAAATAACTGTGACAAGTCTTTAGATGGATGTTAAGTCTGTGAGGAACTGATAACTGACTTTATTAAGGAACATAGGTTTTTGCAACCTGCTGTGAAATTGTTTAAATTTGGAATGTTATGTGATTTTTTAAACAAATAAGCTTTCCAGAGCAATACAAGACCAAAGTTTCTTTCATAAGTAGGCTTATGCTATAGAAATTGTAGCTTTTCCAACCTATATTATTCAGTTTTATGTTGGTTTATTAAATGAGATTCAAAAATCTATTATTTTTATATTTGGAAATACAAATTGGCACAAATGGTATCATCCTTTGGTCACTGAATATTCAGCTTGACTATTATTTTTTAAAGCTTGTTCTTTCATGAGCATCTTCCAAGTATGTGTACATCAATATGAAGTACACACTTCCTACCGTTAATTTTGGAGACTGACAGGTAACTTATTGGAACTCATTTAGAAAATTCTATTTTTACTTTAGAGATGTTGAGGCAGAAATTATAATGCTTCTTCTAGCCTCTAGGAATGCTGTGAATGTCACAAGAAAAATGAGAGGTGCAATGTTTTTTTCCTAAACCTATTGAAGATATGTATAAGAATGTGTAGCTTTGTCAGGTATATTTGGTGAGCCGTGACAATTGGGGTTTCTGTTTTATCAGGTTTTGAGCTCCTCTTGGTGGCTTTTTATGGAACTTCAGTTAATACTACATTTCAAAAGAAAATGCAGAACTATTCCTGCTCCAGGATTCATAGTTTGGAATTTGTTAACTGCAATACAAACTTTGCTGGGAAAGAGAGAATGTCACATGCACATTTTAAGTAAAACAGATTAATATCTAAAATCATAGATGGTCCTCGTATCATTTCTCACCACTGAAGAAAATAAGTAAATCCAATTGATTTTTGTCTTTTTGCCAAACTAACCAGATGGTACTGTTGGTTATTAACATAAGTTTCTTCTCTGGGTTCTTAACTAACTGTCTGCTGATGGCTGAATGTTTTGGCTTTCTGGGAAATTGTTTCCCAGAAAATGTTGTTTTAATTGAACTCTTATTGGGTTGGGACCAGTATTACACATTAATTCTATGCTCTTGAGTAAGAAGGGCCCCTCTCTTACCTTCTTTGACTCTAAACAGTAGAAAAAACAATACTCCCCTCCTACTCCCATCCCTAATCTGTTCTTCCCTCCTGCACTGTGGCAGAATTCAAGCCTGTGGTTGGACTCTTTCCAGCCAGGACAATACTTCCCAAAGAAAGCCTTTCTGGCCACCTGCATTACAACCCCCTGGGCCCTTGGTTGAAGAGGGGACCCCTGCCTGCCCTCCCACTGACCCTACTGACTTGAGTCTCTGGGGCTGGCATCTAGAAATCTATCTTCTCATTAACCTTTAAGAATGCTCATCTAAGGAATCGCATTATTTAAAAGGCTACAAGTTCCAGAAGTTTTCTTTAAATCTTCTAGAAAAAAGAAATGTCTTTTGAGCAGACATGCACATTTCAGAGGTTTCAAGGAACGCTGCCAAATCAAATGTTTAAAAATACTTAATTTTTCCTCTCCTTGTTCTTACTTATCACTAAAATTGATTTGGATGATAAGGGAATGGAGCCTGGAAAGGATGGTGAGTGTGTCGAGTAATATAGAGGGTGAAGTTGAGGAGCGTGGATCTAGAGAGCATGGCTGTGGCTCTGGGAATAATGTTTTTAGAGTCTCAAGATTATTGTTTTAATCAATCTGCTAAAATGATCTAAAGAATAAAGGTTTCTTATCTGGTGTTTATCTACCTTTTACCCTTATTAGTATATTTGTCCTAGAGATTCTAAGGTGATTACAACATGCGAAGCCTTTTTTTATTTTTTTAGGTTCATTTCACTTCAAATTAAGTCATTCAGGAATTTTTGACACTGAAGTACCTAAAAATTATTAACTACATTTCAAACCTGATTTTTAATAAAATTTTTAATAAAAATTAGGCACTTGGGAGCTTCAGCACAATAATTGATAGGATTTTAGTATCAGACCACTCTTCTGGGTCTCATTTAAAGAGCAATAGAATATTGGAGACAGAAAAGAAATGATCAATGAATGACACAGCCATCATTTACAATATGTGAAATCTTCAAACTAAAAGCTTTTTCTCCTACTTCTGTGAAATCATGCAAGTAAGTCAGTATGGCACTTCTGCAGCTGAAACCTCAGAGGAAATGGTTGTCAGACTGTGGTTGTAAATGTTGATGTGAATATATCTGTTTCTGTGCTGGTGTTCTGTGTTAATGAACCTTGTGTCTTATTTCAGAGAGATTCCCCCTCCACTTCCAGACAGTCCCCAGCTAATGGTCATAGCAGCACTAACAATTCTGTTTCGGTAAGAACTCTAGCTCCACACATCAAAGTGTGACAATTTTGTTGGTGCCACCTGCCATGAGTGTTCCAGTTACATGTGTTCAGTGGAAATAATTGTCTTCTGCCGATACACAAGGCTACTACAGCTACAATGCAGTTTACTCCTGGAAAATCTTTTTCAACATTTTCTTTCCATTACAAATCCCTTCATCAGTTAAATTTGAAGAAATGTTCAAAACTGCTTTGGTTATTCTCAAAATATTAACGTGTCACCCCACTAGTATTTATGACTTTGCTCAAACTTATGCAAAGGATGTAAATGGAAATTTGTTGAAATTTCTAAATATTTTTTTAATTTGAGAAAGATAAAGAAATGGAAGGATTTTGCAGAGTAGGCATGTTGGGTGTTTCTCGGGCTTTGTAGTTGTCTATTCTGAGTGATATCAGCAACGTTTTAGTTTCCGCTATCTAAGTTTACGAATTGGTGTGCCCTCTGTTATTGTGGTATGTGCAATATTTTTGTGAATTATAAGCCTTGCCTGGATATGAAAAGCAAAAGGAACTGGCTTCAAACTGCACTTAAGCCACGCTGTTATCACATCTTTAACACAAAGTACTTTATATTTTGACTTGAACATGGAATTTTACATTTTTTTCCAGAATTATCTATTTTGGAATATGAAGTATTGTTCTTAATTTAAACAAATGGAAGCACAGGTGCAAGTGTGCAATATTTTTGGGTAACAGAGTTTTCTCTAAGTTGCTGATATTGCTGTTAAAATTATTAAGAGTTCTAATAATGCAGCAGTATCACCTTTTTCCAGACTATTAATTTGCCCTTTAAAAGTGTATCAGCTTTCTATCAGGTAAAATTTAGAGATTATCTCAAATGGAATGATATCAGTAAGAGAAATTTATGGAAGAATATTTCCTGTGACTTTATTTTCAACTTCAAATTAGGCGACCAAAGGAATTCATTTATAACAGTTAATATTTAATACTTTTAAGATGGTGAAAATCCGTATAGACATTGAATTTTTCAAAATCGAAATGGTTGCAGTAACTAAGAAAAGGGCAACAACTCTTTTTTAGTTTGGGTTTTTTTTAAATAGGCTATTTCATTTGCAGTGGCTTTTGTGTTGAAGATGCTGAGTTGTTTCTTAAGAACACATTTTCTCTCTGCTTAAACTTACCTGCTTTCTTCAGCTTGCTGCTAAATGGCCTGGGTTTTATTTTATTTATATATATATATATATATATATATATATAT